GTCCGCACGCTTAAGGTTTCGATGACAGTTATATTATGAGTTTATGAGTTTTGATGTACCTAAGGAGTTCGGAGTCCCGGATGAGATCGGGGACATGACGAGGAGTCTCAAAATGGTCGAGACGTAAAGATCGATATATTGGACGACTATATTCGGACTTCGGAAAGGTTCCGAGTGATTCGGGTATTTTTCGGAGTACCGGAGAGTTACGGGAATTCGCCGGGGAGTATATGGGCCTTATTGGGCCATACGGGAATAGAGGAGAGAGGCCGAAAGGAAGGAGGGGCGCAGCCCCCCTCTGGTCCGAATTGGACAAGGGGTGCAGCCCCTTTTTCCTTCCTCCTCTCCCCCTCTCTCCTTCTCTCCTACTCCAACAAGGAAGGGGGGGAGTCCTACTCCCGGTGGGAGGAGGACTCCTCCTGGCACGCCCCTCCTGGCCAGCCGACCCCCTCCCCCTGGCTCCTTTATATACGGGGGCAGGGGGGCTCCTCTAGGGATAACAACAATTGATCCCTTGGATCTCTTAGCCGTGTGCGGTGCCCCCCTCCACCATAGTCCACCTCAATAATATCGTAGCGGTGCTTATGCGAAGCCCTGCGACGGTAGAACATCAAGATCGTCACCACGCCGTCGTGCTGACCGAACTCTTCCTCGACATTCTGCTGGATCGGAGTTCGGGGATCGTCATCGAGCTGAACGTGTGCTAGAACTCGGAGGTGCCGTAGTTTCGGTGCTTGATCGGTCGGGCCGTGAAGACGTACGACTACATCGACCGCGTTGTTCTAACGCTTCCGCTTTCGGTCTACGAGGGTACGTGGACACACTCTCCCCTCTCATTGCTATGCATCACCATGATCTTGCGTGTGCGTAGGAAAAGTTTTGAAATTACTACGTTCCCCAATAGATTCCCCCACAAGTTGGGATGAGTCTCTGAACTTTACGAAAAAAAAGAGGCCAAAGAAGCCCACCAAATAAAAAAATGAGAGAAAAAGAGAGAAGGTACAATGTTACTATCCTTTTACCACACTTGTGCTTCAAAGTAGCACCATGATCTTCATGATAGAGAGTCTCCTATGTTGTCACTTTCATATACTAGTGGGAATTTTTCAATATAGAACTTGGCTTGTATATTCCAATTGTCACTTTCATATACTAGTGGGAATTTTTTCATTATAGAACTTGGCTTGTATATTCCAATTGTCACTTTCAAATACTAGTGGGAATTTTTCATTATAGAACTTGGCTTGTATATTCCAATTGTCACTTTCATATACTAGTGGGAATTTTTCATTATAGAACTTGGCTTGTATATTCCAATGACGGGCTTCCTCAAAATGCCCTAGGTCTTCGTGAGCAAGCAAGTTGGATGCACACCCACTTAGTTTCTTTTTGATAATCTTTCATACATTTATAGCTCTAGTGCATCCGTTGCATGGCAATCCCTACTCCTCATATTGACATCAATTGATGTGCATATCCATAGCCCGTTGAATAGCCACGTCAATACGAGACTTTCTCCTTTTTGTTTTCTCACATAATCCCTATCATCATACTCTACTCCACCCATAGTGCTATGTCGATGGCTTACGCTCATGTATTGCGTGAGGGTTGAAAAGGCTGAAGCATGGCCAGAAAAGTATGAACCAATTGCTTGGCTGAAACCGGGGTTGTGCATGATGGGAGAATTTTGTGTGATAAAAATGAAGCATGGCCAGACTATATGATTTTGTAGGGATAAGCTTTCTTTGGCTATGTTATTTTGATAAGACATGATTACATTGTTAGTATGCTTGAAGTATTACTATTTTATGCCAATATTAAACTTTTATCTTGAATCTTTTGGATCTGAACATTCATGCCACAATAAAGAAAATTACATTGAGAATTATGCTAGGTAGCATTCCACATCAAAAATTCTGTTTTTACCATTTACCTACTCGAGGACGAGCAGGAATTAAGCTTGGGGATGCTTGATACATCTCCAACGTATCTATAATTTTTGATTGTTCTATGCTATTATATTACCTGTTTTGGATGTTTAATGGGCTTTACTATGCACTTTTATATTATTTTTGGGACTAACCTATTAATCGGAGGCCCGGTCCAAATTGTTGTTTTTTTGCCTATTTCAGTGTTTCGCAGAAAAGGAATATCAAGCGGAGTCCAAACGGAATGAAACCTTCGGGAGAGTTATTTTTGGAACAAATGCAATCTAGGAGACTTGGAGTGGACGTCAAGAAAGAAACAAGGCGGCCACGAGGCAGGAGGGCGCGCCTAGGAGGGGTAGGCGTGCACCCCACCCTCGTGGGCCCCTCGTGGCTCCCCTGACCGACTTCCTTCGCCTATATATACTCATATACCCGGAAAACATCCAGGAGCACCACGAAACCCTATTTCCACTGCCGCAACCTTCTGTACCCGTGAGATCCCATCTTGGGGCCTTTTCCGCTGCTCTGCCGGAGGGGGAATCGATCACGAAGGGCTTCTACCTCAACGCCATAGCCTCTCCGATGAAGTGTGTGTAGTTTACCACAGACCTTCGGGTCCATAGTTATTAGCTAGATGGCTTCTTCTCTCTCTTTGGATCTCAATACAAAGTTCTCCTCGATCTTCTTGGAGATCTATTCAATGTAATTCTTTTTGCGGTGTTTTTGTCCAGAGCCGATGAATTGTGGGTTTATGATCAAGATTATCTATGAACAATATTTGAATCTTCTCTGAATTCTTTTATGTATGATTTGTTATCTTTGCAAGTCTCTTCGAATTATCAGTTTGGTTTGGCCTACTAGATTGATCTTTCTTGCAATGGGAGAACTGCTTAGCTTTGGGTTCAATCTTGCGGTGTCCTTTTCCAGTACAGCAGGGGCAGCAAGGCACATATTGTATTATTTCCATCGAGGATAAAAAGATGGGGTTTATATCATATTGCTTGAGTTTATCCCTTTACATCATGTCATCTTGCTTAATGCGTTACTCTATTCTTATGAATTTAATACTCTAGATGCATGTTGGATAGCGGTCGATGTGTGGAGTAATAGTACTAGATGCAGAATCGTTTCGATCTACTTGTCGCGGACGTGATGCCTATACACATGGTCATGCCTAGATATTCTCATAACTATGCACTTTTCTATCAATTGCTCGACAGTAATTTGTTCACCCACCGTAATACTTATGCTATCTTGAGAGAAGCCACTAGTGAAACCTATGCCCCTCGGGTCTATTTTCTATCATATAAGTTCCGATCTATTTTATTTTGCAATCTTTACTTTCCAATCTATATCATAAAAATATCAAAAAAAAATATCTTATTATCTCTATCAGATCTCACTTTTGCAAGTGGCCGTGAAGGGATTGACAACCCCTTTATCGCGTTGGTTGGAAGATTCTTATTTGTTTGTGTAGGTACGAGGGATTTGCGTGTAGCCTCCTACTAGATTGATATCTTGGTTCTCAAAAACTGAGGGAAATACTTACGCTATTTTGCTGCATCACCCTTTCCTCTTCAAGGGAAAACCAACGCATGCTCAAGAGGTAGCATTGTTGTCGAGGGCGACATCTGAAGCCACCGCTTCCATTGGAGGAAGAGAACTGGCGGTCACCGCGATCACCACGGCCACGCCCCCTTCCTCCTCGCCCGCGAGATCTGCCACGGGACTGGCCACGGCCTCTGTAGACCGCGTTAGCAGATGAGTGGAACCTGCCTGAAGATGAGTCGCCTAGCATCTCCATCCTTTGATCAAAGGCAGAGATTTGAGCAAATAGATCGTCATCGGTGATGGTATTTTTGACAATGCCGATTGCCTCCACCATGGAGTCGTAGTCACGGTCCAGTCCTACCAGGATGTAGTCCACCATCTCCGAATCAGAGACAGGACGATCGGCAACAGCTAGTTCATCCCCAAGGCTCTTTATCTTCGCCATATACGCCGAGCTTGACATGGTGCCCTTCTTGGTATTGGTGATGGCGATTCTCAGATTAGTAATCCGAGACTGAGATTGTGAGGCGAAGAGATTTGTCACCGTCGTCCAGAGCTCAAAGGTGGAATCTTTCCCAACGACCTGTGCAAGAATTTCTGGAGACATGGAATTGAGAAGGTATGACAGAACATGCTGGTCTTTGGCGATCCAGGGTCCATACAGGGGGTTCGGCTCTAGGGTTGTGGTCTTGTCCGCCTTTGTGATCTCCACCATCCTGGGCTGAGCGCCGTCGGTGTTGTCTAGGAGCCCTGTTACCTGCGCACCTCGCAGGGCTGGGAGGACCCGCGTCTTCTAGAGGATAAAGTTTCCTCTTGCAAGCTTCTCAAACGGCGACGATCCGAGGTTGAGGGCGACGCCGGCAGAGGAAGCCATGGAGACGATGGTATGTGGTTTTTAGGGTTTTGGTTTGTGGCTAGATGTATGAGAAGAGGTGGCTCTGATTACCATGAAAGATATCAAGTGTCCTACTCCCTCGAGGGAGCCGCGTGGGTGTTTATATTGATGTGGCCGCAGCCCTTGCCTTGGCGTACAAGAAGATATACAAGAGTTTTGAGTAGAATACAAGATAAGGGAAAAGGTTGAGATTACAACGGCATATATTCTAACACAAAGGAATTAGCTAGCTACCCCCGCTGGCACTAACGAACTAATGACTCCTCTGCAACAAAACACATGCATGTCCTAGTAACTGGCTCCTAACTCGTGCCTCGGAGGTGGGGCGACCCTGCTGACCCATTGGGTCAGTCGGTGCCGGCTCCACTGACCCAATTATGGTTCGAGGCCGACCCACACGGGTCCATTGGACTCGATTTTTCAGGTCGGGTCAGCGACCCGATGGGCCGACCTGGCCCATTCCCATCCTGACATATGACCAATCGAACTTTGTAATGCTGTGTGGCGTGCCCAGAATGGCCACGTATACACGAACTCAGACAATCGTGCGCCACCGCGACGCGCCCCTCCAAAAGCGCTTATCCTCGCCGCGTCCGATCCCGCACCGCACCGACCGGCCCGCGGCCATGGCGGCGCCACCCCTACCTCCACTCCTCTGCAGTGCCGCCTCCTCCTACCGCGTGACGCTCCTCGCCCCTCATGCTCTCCCCTATCGCGCGGCGGCGCGGCCGATGGTCTCGCGCAGCTCGTCGCCCCCGTGCATCGCCCCCACGCTGCGGCGAGCAGGGGCCCGGGCCCCTCTGCCATGCGCGGCCAAGCGCGGCGGCGAGGCGTCTTCGATTGGCGGGGAGGGGACGCGCATGCTGCTTCAGGCGGCGCTGTGGGGCGCCGAGGCCGCCTACATACTCTGGCTCTTCCTCCTCCCGTACGCTCCGGTCCGTACGGATAACACAAATGTTCACTTTCTTTGCATTTCGCTTAGCTCCAATGCAAGCAAATTTTGTACACTTTTTTCTGTGAACTGGAGAATCATTTAACCTAGCTAATCGTTCCATTAAAAATATGAAAAGAAAGTGCACCAATCATCGATTAATTAGCATCGTGATGCAGGGCGACCCATTGTGGGCTATCTCGCAAGCCACGATCACTGACCTCGTCGGCCTGTCGCTCAACTTCTTCTTCATCCTGCCCTTGATCAACTCCGGTACGCCCAAATTCCAGAATTTTCAGGCGTACATCAATCTGAAACTCACAGCATTACGGCCATGATTCTTGCTGAGTTTGCTTGGCAGTGTAGCTGGAGTGCACCTGCTCGAATCCCCTGTGATGCACCCAGTAAGAAACTAACACATACTGTATTTTCTTGTGACATTACTTATGGTTATGGGTACAGTATGTGTTAATTCGTCAGTCGTTGCTTAGGTGGCAGAAGGATTGTTCAATTTTGTCATTGCCTGGACACTGCTGTTTGCGCCGCTCCTCTTCACGGATGGTAGGAGGGACCGTTACCAGGGATCGCTCGATATCTTGTGGGGCTGTCAGATGTTCCTCACAAATAGTATGATCTCCTTGACCCAAAATGAACCAGCAGAACAGTTCAGATTATCTTACATCTATTTTTGTTTGTAGCTTTCTTGATTCCTTACATGGCAATCCGGCTCAACGATGTCGACAAGAACCAGCCTCCACCGCAGACATCAAAACTGAGTTCACTCATGGTGCGAGGTGCATCCGGTGTAGGCATAACTGGTGGCCTGGTCTGCATTTTATCCATTGTTTGGGCTTTCTTCGGCCGGGCAGATGCTGATTTTGGAGGTGTCTTGGATCGGTGGCAATATGCGCAGGATTATGTCTTGACCGAGCGGCTTGCCTACGCATTTCTGTGGGACATACTGCTATACTCGATATTCCAGCCATGGTTGATTGGAGACAATCTTCAGAATGCGAAACCAAAAACTACAGAGTTTGTGAATGTAGCAAGGTTTATCCCAGTTCTTGGCATTGTTGCCTACCTCTTGTGCTTAGAAGAGAAAAAGGATTAGCTGTTATATTGCGCTGTTTTCTTGTAGTTTTTTTTTCCCTATCATATGGATTATGTTTTAACTGACTTATAAATTTGAAAGAGTTTTGCACATTGTGGTACTCTATAATTACTCCCTAGATTATTTATCTAGATAGGTGCTTGGCTGAAACGAGAACCCAGTGCACAAATGGAACGGAGAAGACATCGAAAAAGAATTGAAGTGAAAATTATTTATTCAGGAGAACATCCGGGTGAGCATATTACTCCTTCAACCACTAAATCCTCTTGCTGTTACAGATGCTAAGAAAAACACGAGGGAATAACTAAGTTCTCTAGGAAAACTCTAGTTTGCAGAAAGTCTAGACGATCTTTTCAGAACACTAGAAGCCTAAAACTGTTGCCAGCGCCATGAAACCAAGTGCGGCAGAAATGGCATCAGCTATGAGCTTGGACCCGCTGCTGTATCCCGGATTCTGGCTGGTGGTCGTCGGTGCGGATGTTGTCAGTGGTGGCATGGGTGTCGTCGGCATCGGCGTCGATGGAACAGTGGAGTTCACACTCATGCCTGGCGTGCTCACCGGCGGCGACGGTGCTTGTCCCTCTGGAAGGAGCCCTTCAAGACAGTTATTGATTCAAAGAGGGTTTTCAGTACGTAGCGAACCCCTGGCCGAAGAAAATCATTTTGCGGAAAGAGATCGCGGATGGAGAGTATTCAGCGCTGAGTTATGGTACCTGCGCAGGCGCTGGCATCGGCGGGGACATCGAGTCGGCAGAGGGAAGGCAGCAGCACGACGCGGGACATGTTCACGGAGACAGGGGACCTGCCGGAGCCGGACTGGCTGAGGGCCTGGCAGAGGCACAGCGGCTGGTCGTGCACCATGCTCCCCAGGTTGGCGCAGCAGGTGTCGGGCGGCGCGGCGGCGCCGCCGTCGAGGAACGAGAGGCAGGGGAGGAGGCGTAGGAGCTCGGTGGTGCAGCTGGACGACGACGGCCCCGTCGTCTGTGGTTCAGGCGCCGGGTGGGCGCCCTGGAGGGAAACCAGCAGCAGCGCGACGCAGAAAGCGGTAACCGAAGCCGCCATCGGTGCCATCGTACTGCTCTCTGCAAGTCTGCCTGTGAAGAATCTGATCGAGTGATTGGCCACGGTGGAGGTGTGGATTTATAGCGTCTGACGAACGGGGATGCATGGCAATGGCGTGCTTCCGGACGTGGTCTCCGTGAAGTGGAACGTTGCTAGATAGATGCGTGAAGAGCGGCGTGGGGATGGGGAGTTTTGTGTGAGTTGGAGCGTTGGGATTGCGTTGGGGGTCTGGGCTCGCATGGGAATGGTGCTTGTACTGCCTTGTTGTAGGTGGGGGTTTCATGTGAAGTGGGATTGACTCTTACTGGCCACTTGAGACCGCTGACCAGAATGTCCTAACCAACTATAGCGCATGAGAAATTAAAGCTAATTTTTGGTGTTGCTAAAATAAGGTGAGCAAATGGCCTGCGCAAGTTTTCCTTTAGATGAAACAATGCAATTCCATTTATTTAGTACTATGTGCAACCAAGGAGCAAAGGAACCATATCCTCATCACAATTTTGGTATCGATAGACACCGATATACTGTAGCTAAATTTGGTTGAAATTATATGATGTTAAAATATACTAGAACATATCATTACGGAATAATTAGCAGCATACCCGCAAAAAAGGAATAATTAGCAGCAAATCAGAAGTATCCTAATTTGGACTTTAGTACGTTAACCTGCAAAAAGAAAATGGGCTTTGGGTTCTCATGGGCATGAAATAAAAGAAAGTGACATTTTCTCATTTTACCTTCCGGCAGTGTCATGGGCCTTCGGTTCTATTTTTAAGGAGATTGTACAAATTAGGCCAATTTAAAGCTTGTTGGGGCTGGCAAGAGCTCTTCAAAGAGGATCAGATCCACAGGAACTATATCTCGCTTATGACGAGATGTACGCTCCCCTCGGCTGAATCATTTCTCCTCTCGCTACTGTACTTGTCCGCATTGGTACTGTAACATAGTTATCACTTTTTTATTTACTCTTTTGTAATGGTTTTCTTTGGGTTTTTCTTTCGGATTTCTTTAATTTTCGTTGGTTTTCATTGTTTTCCAGTGTTTTGCATTGGTTTTCTTTGATTTTCTATGGTTTTCACGGTTTCCTTTGTTTTTGCAATGGGTTACTTCGGTTTTCTTTGGGTTTCCTTTTCCTTTTTGTTTTCTGTTCTTCCTTTTTTTTATCTTCCATGCTTTTCTTTGTTTCTTTCTTGGTTTTCACAAAGATTTTTTTCTTTCTTTTTTCTATGATTTATTCGGCTCCTTTGTTACTTTCTCTATTTTACCGGGGGTTTTCATTTCTTTATTTTTCTTTTGTTTTTCTTTTATGCTTTTATTTCCTTTTTGGCATTCTTTGTTTTATTTGTTTCTTTCTCGGTTTTCACTATTCAATTCTTTTTTGGGTTTTATTTCTTTTCTTCATTTCTCTTTGTTTCTTTGTTTGTTTTCATCGGTTTTTTTCCAATACCTGTCTGTTTTTTCAGTACACAGTGTACATTTTTAGGGTACACGTAGAACACTTTGTTGATACACACTGAACATTTTTAAATACATGATGTACATTGTTCCTTGAATACATGTTTTCAGCACTTTCTAAAAACATCAGCACCCCCGATCTGATCGGGCGCGACTATGTGTAGCTTATAGCAAGATATCGAACAAGGTCTCGCCTGAAGCCAATGGGCTGGCCCAGCGTGCTGGAGGTCCACACGCCTTACGTGCTCGTTTTTCCTTCATTTTTTTCGTTATTTGCTTTCCTTTATATTTAGGAAATAGTCTGAACATATATATTATAAAAATCACTTTATCTTAAATTTTAAATAAATACTAATCTTGCCTTTGAAAAATGTTTCTAATGTATACAAAAAATGTACAACGTGTATGAAAAAAACTAGACATCAGAACATATATGAAAAAATGTTAAACATGTATAAAAACTGTTTCTGGTGAATAAAAAGATATACACAGTGTATGAAAAAAGTAGACATCAAAATATATATTTTAAAAAATTAATAATGTATTCAATGTGTATATCTTTTTTTCATGTATAAGAAAAATATACAATGTGTATGAAAAAATGTTGCCATCGAAAACGTTTGTTTGAAAGAATGTTAATCATGTACTTTAAAAATGTTACACGTGCATAAGGAAAATGTTTCTTATTTATACTAAAAACGTACAAATTGTTAAATTGTTATAAAAGTTAGACATCAAAACATATGTCTAAAACAATGTTAATGATGTATTTGAAAAATGTTATTTCCTTTGAGCATGTTGTTCACAATATTCCTTTGAGCATGCGAAATTCGGTTAATGGGCATGACACTACGAGCAGATAGAACTACACAATCTGACACTAGTGCCACCTGCAAGGAATGGCGAGTCTTGTGAAAATCAATGTCCCATGAAAGAAAGAAAAAACTTTGCTTGTAGACTTGGCAGAAATTCCATTCCGACTGGAGGCGTTTGGTCTCACGGAAATATGTCGGATACACACATTTGCCCTATTTGTAATAGAGTAGAAGATAATTGGCGAGATGCACTAATTGACTGCAATACGACAAAATGTGTTTGGTCATTACTTGACGAGTACCTTGTGGAGCATTTGATAGCTTGTCGAATGCTTGATGTTAGAGATATGCCATAGAGGCAATGGTAAGTTGTTACTATTCTATTTTCATGTTCATAATTAAGTTTATATTTCTGTGCTACAATTGAAATAGTTCTTGAATGTGAGATCTGGAGGAAAACCTATTTGCATGTGTGGAAATGTAAACATCCCTAGTCAGGCCTCTAGACTAGCTCATGTATTGTTGATGGTTCTATTTTCCTAACCATGGGCATTGTTAGTGTGCAAGGATGCCAACAATAATGAGAACACATTGCTAGGGTAATGATGGTGTTGCATAGACCTAACCTATGAAATACTGCAAGATCACGTCGTCAATAAGTTGTTGGTATTTTTGTATAAAGCGTTACCATTCACTTGCGTCCTTAGACCATGAGTATAGCACATACTCAGGGTGTCGGATGATTAATTTGGGTTGCCAAACATCACTCTGTAACTCGGTTGTCACAAAGGTAGCTTTTGGGTATACTGAAACATGTGATGTGGTGTTCAGTAAGTCAAGACTGGGTTGCTCCTCCGGTGATGGAGAGATACTCTATTGGCCCACTTGTTGAGCTATAATAGGTGCATCGGCTGCAATATATATTTTTTATCAACCAGGAACATGCTAAGGAAGATGGATCATAGAGATAAATACCACTAGATGTGTAGTTTAGCGAAAGTAGAGTTGGGGCAGCGTATCCGGAGTCGTCTCCTCCTCGTCGATCTCCCACGTAGCCGATCGGATCCCACAAAAGTGCGGTGAATCAACATACCACTACATGATATAATATGCCTGTCGTTGTTATAATGCCCACAAGACACAGTCTCATGAACCTTAAATCCCTTAAAGTGAACAACATAAACGTAGCTGGTGCCAACCATCATTATATGACAACCTTTATTCAAACAAAGATCCAAACATTGAAACGGTTCAGACTACTGGTACCAAAACGTGAGGTGCCACTATTGATCATGTGATAACTTATTAAGTATAAATCATGCCGCACATGATAAAGATGGATGCTACTATTACCCTACACTATTGCTCTGACCCTTCTCCTCTGTTGCCGGCTTTGTCGACGATGTAGTCAACTCCTTTGACTCCTTCGGAAAGGTATGGCTCCTCATAGAAGTACTCTCCAGCCACACTTGGATCATCTGTCATCTCCTCCAAATATTCACAGTTTGAAGGGGGATGGTAAAGGCTCAACAATGATTTTGTAAATATCTGTAGCATCAAGTTTTACTTAAAACATTTAGTTATCAGACTTCACGGGTTGAATCTCCGATAGACTCCTTTCAGTTGCGTTCACAGATCTTTCCCAGATTAGGGAGTGACAAGCCACAA